ACGCGACGTTGCGCCTACGGCTCGGCTTTCCAAGACACGGTAGGACTTCCTAGACAGTCCCGGGCGACTAAATCGCCTACTGTCTCTCACGGCTGAACTTCCTGCGAAGCTCTGCCCTAGGTGTACTGTCTTGCGATGGTCTACTTCTCGCTGCACTAAAGGCCTTTCGTACCTATTGCAGCACTAACTTTGTGTTACTAGCTCGCACTAACAACACGCTCTAAAACTTAGTTAGAAGACAGTCTGCCTAAGGCTTATGTCTAATTGGGATTAAATACAAAATGTAAGGGGCTGCGCTTTAGGGAGCAATCGCGAGGTATACAAGAGGTTGTATTCAATAAGGAGCTATCTACTCTGCTTACGTGGTGTTTATTTACTTATCGGAGAAAGGTTATGCCGGAGTATCTGAGCGCGTTGTCTGAGCGCTGCTCGGTCTGAACGTAGTTCAGATGGTGCGCGCGCAGCTTGGCCCGAGATTCCATCGAGGAGCTATCCAAAGGGCGTTCAGCCCGTTACATCTATTTGTTTCTAAGGAAGAGTAGGAGAAGGTGTAGCAGGAGCGTAAGCAGAATGAGCTTAAAGTTGCTTGTTTAAGGGCTTAGCGTGCTTAGCTAGACGCGCAGTTATTATAGCAAGAGGCAGCACTTCTAAAAATAAAGTCATAAGAGCGTTCCTTCGCTTATCGCGATTTTGCTATTCTTAAGTTCTAGAATTATGTAAAAGAGAAAGCTAAGGGGAGCTCTGCCTCTAGTACAGACCTTCTATTAACTAGACCTTTGCTACTTACATAGTTAACTAACTTAGGCTAGTTATTATAGGCTAATTCTTCTTTTTTTAATCCTTTGTCCCTTAACTTCTTCCTTTCTTATAAGAATCTAGTTCTCGCTTTTATAGATGCTTCTAATAGTACTCACGCACTAGTGACTTGTAGTTTATTAGGTTTCCTTTAGGTTCCTAAGTGTTTTAGCTTTTAGGCTATCTTTGTTACTTAACTAAGTACTTCTACTAACTACTAAATTTCTATAGGTCCTTAACTTCTTTAGCTTTGTACTTATTGTCTTTAAGCTTTATATCTATTGCTAGCTTAGCGTCTAGAGGTGCTAATTCTAGGAGTTTCTTATAAAAGATAGGGTAGATTCTTATGCCTTATATGTAACGGCGCAGGTAAGGCAGGTCGGATCTGTTTCGGTCGTAGGATCACTCAGAGGCATA